TCATACTTTCATGACAGTGATGCTGTAGTAATGCATGGTATTGGTTAATATAGGCTGGAAGCTAAAAAGTTGTATGTTTGAAACCCACACAGGGTGAGACGTGAGGTGTCACCATTGTGCCCTTAAGCACTAATAGTTCAAGAATAGTTCACCCAAAATTGCTTTTTTTCATTCCATGAATGGGGACAATGAGTATTCATGTTTAAAGGACACAAAAGGACCATAAACGTACAAAAAGGTGGTCTGTATGACTTGTAAGTTAATATTCTATGCCTTCTAAAGCCATAGTTTTGTGTAGACCTAATGACTGTAATGTATTTACTTATCTTTCATAAGGACGTCTAGCAGTGTAGTGATTGGCACTCTCGAAACACTGCTTTATGAAGCTTAGGAACCTTTGTGAATCTTGTGAAAAAAACAAGCAAATGAGGTTTCTTTGCGCGTTCACGACAGTATCATGACGCTAGCGTGTGGCGGCGCTGACCCAGATCCGGCGTAATGACGTCATCCCGCCACACGCTCGCGTCATGTTACTGTCATGAACGCGCGTCCACAAGTGACGCAGTAGAGATGAAAATGTGGAATAAAGTCGTTATTTTTGTTTTCTTTGCGCAAAAAAAGTATTCTCGTAGCTTCGTAACTTTACAGTTGAACCACTGATGTCACACGGACTACTTTGTCGATCATCTTGGTACTTTTCTGGACCTTGAACGTGGTAGTTACCTTGCTGTCTATGGGAGGGTCAGAGAGCCCTCAGATTTCATCAAAAATATCTTAAATTGTGTTCCGAAGATGAACAAAGGTCTTACGGGTTTGGAACAACACGAGGGTGAATAATTAATGACAGAATTTTCATTTTTGGGTGAACTAACCCTTTAAACGTCTGATTCATGAACGAATCATTCAGAGTTGTTTGTGAACTGGATCAAACGATTTAATAAAGAATCCAACTTCACGAATCGGATGAGTGTTCTCTCGTGAACTCACCAAGGAGATCTAGAGCTGATGTCAAGCTGTCAATTTTCGGTGAATAACGACTTAAATTTAGTCTTCTCACAAAAGTAGCGATAAACATATTTAACTCTTTAGCCTCTGATTTTGTGTTGTACGAAAGAAATAAAGTAAGTTAGCCTAGTACGAGTTTGGAGCAACATGATGGTGAGTAGCTACATAATGACAGTATTTCTTTTTTCTAATAAGTATATGTCACAAACAACTGAAAAATGACTACTTATGGTGTCATTATTTATGTACTTAAGTTTAGGAGCAAACAGGAAGTGGTTACTGTGTATGTACTGTCACCTGGTGGCTGTGAGGAAAACCTACATAAGTCATTGTTTCTCTTGCAGTGGGAGAAGGGGGCCACAGAGAAAAAAAAACCTTAGTGAGAAAGGGGGCCACAGAGAGAGAGAGAGAGAGAGAAAAAAAAGCTTATGAATGAGCATGAGTAATCTATGAAAGTAAATGAATGAAATCGCTTTATGAGAAGTGGATATAGCGCTTCCCCTGCGTAAGCAAAGACCCACTGAGGCACAGGTCAGGATTGCACAATACATGCACATCCGCACATAGTTTTAGCCTGAAAATACACTGTTGTGATCAGACACAGTGGTGTCTGATTATATAGTGAAGGTAAGAGCTGTTTTTTTATTTATTATTTTGGATAAGCATAAGAAAACTTTTTCATTTGCTTCATTATTTGATAAAGGTGAAATATAAAAATATTACCAACATAATCTACTGAAAGCTACATAAAATGATCAAATGCATAACATTTAAGGCATAATCAAGAAATCATGTTTGCTGTATGTTGTGTGTAATGTACAGTTGAATGTGTGAAAGAGAATGCCTTTTTATTATTTTTTATTGCAAAATTAAAATGGAATAAAATTCAAGGAAATTCATTTCTTCAATGACAACAAATGAATTAAATATAATTGTATTTATTATTATATATATTTTATGTCCACAGAGCATCACCTCCTTTCAAACCATGACATCTGCATATTTTACACCACTAAATAAATATACAGATGGTTCAAACGTTCATGTTATGCATATTTTCCTCTTGTTGTAACCACAGTAGCCTAATGCAGAAATTAGTAGAGGAGCCTGAATTAGTCCCAGACAGAAAATAAAAAACACTTTCTCAGTTGTAATATCTCCATTTTCTGCACCCCCTTCCTGTGCTCTACAAAGTCTCTTTACACTTTTGACCTTTTCTGGGTTGTTTTTCCATCACTTCATCAATCTTTGTCTGCTTGTCTATGAGCAATGGAAAACTAATAGGGAGATGGTGAGTTAGTGCACATCATTTCCTGGTAGAGATGAGATTTGTAAAACAGAGTTCAGCCAGAATGGGTCTGCTATAGACGCATATTATCAGACACATACTAGCGTGCATAAATGAGTGTTTTCTCAGTCTGACCAGCGGGAATAAAAAGCCCTTGAGAAATTCTGGCCGTTTTACTTTAAAGCAATCTCGGACTTTCAGATACTTCCTGTTCACTGTAAATGGAAACGTGGGTGTATGATGGAACAGAGAGGCGTAACTAAATCTTTTGTGGGTCATTGTGATGCAGCTTCATTCATATGAAAGGTAAAAAATAGAAACTCCACTGTGGTCATCAAGCTCTGAGTCAGTGGCTTTCATAAAGTGGATCATAATAGTCTCAAAACAAGTCTATGTTTTGAAGCGCATACTGGCTTAAGTTTACATGTAGATACATGTAGAAAGGCTATGGGAGTGTTTCCTGTCTATTGTTTCAAAAGAGAGCACATACTTAATCATTTTTAAAGGGATAGTTCTCTCAAAAAGGAAAAAAGTTAATGGGAGATGAGTCAATATAATATTTTTGTGGTAATCAACATGCTGTATATTGAGATTAATTAGTATATTTCTTAATCCGGAGTCCTGTTAAGGCAAGAAATGTGACTGAAATTGGCAATCATATTTATCTCTCAAAAGTATGCTAACCTTCATGCAATGTCTATGCTGTGTAGAAAAGACTGTATGTTAATTTTTGTCTTGTTTTGTTTTCTAAACGCAATTCAAAAGCAGAAGCCTGGGTCACAACTCTATGTTGTTATGATGGTGCCATGGCAATCCCTGATAGGAATCCTAATGGGGTTTACCTACATTTGCACCACACCCAGTTACAATGACAATCCGTTTGAACTACTGAGAGGGGGTGGCAGGCGCACACTCACCTGCTGGTGATCCCGATATGGGTGTGTATCCATGAGCAGGAAAAATAAATCCGCTTTTACCTCACATGACTAATAACTGACAGTTCACCTCCCACACCTAAGGTTTGTCAAACCACTCTTTGATCAGCACTAATGTCACTACAAAAAGCAAATACAGAAAGGAAAGTACATATAGTATCACCATTGCATTGCACCATTTTTGATTAAAACAGAATCCTATTTCTCTGTTGACTCAAGCCGTACAGTTATACAGTTATACAATTATTCCAAGTCATATACCTCCATGGAACATTGTGACATTCAGTGCAAAAACGACAGGAATGGAGAATGAAAGAAACTCTTAACTGTAGTTCCAGTAAGGATTTCGTAATAGTAATACTGTATGGTTTAAATTCAAAGAATTTTATAAAAACAAAGCTTGAGTCATACAATGTATAAAGTCATAATGCTATGTCATGCTACACCATAATAAAAACCTAACCACAACTTCCACTTTTAGTTTCCTAGAAAGTCAGCATTAGCTTCCAATAAATGAGAAATATACAGTTTTTCTTCACCCATTTGAAAGATTTTTATGGCCAAAATCACTGAGCTGTATCAGACCGAAATGTTTCAAGTTTTTGAGCAAGATGTAAATTCATGACTTTTCATTTTTCAAAATAATGCCTCAACACAATTTTCATATTTTATTAAATCTACGTATTTTACTGAATTCTTAAAATATGAAAACATAATTTGAAAACGTACATATAATTTTATGTTTATGGACAAAATCTGTTTTTTTTAAGAGAAAATTAATGTTTTTTTTTATGTGTGTGTGTGTGTGTGTGTGTTTGAGAACAGTAAAATGATGTCATATTAGTGACGGGTTAATTTAAGTCAGTCATTTTTGTTTGTGTTTGTGTTGTCAGGATATACACAGGAAGGATAAAGCGAGGAATAGTTAGGCTGAAAAGATGAGTGTTTTCACACTAATGAGGTCAATCCTGTATATGTACCATCTGTGCATTTACATTCACTGAGCCAGAACGGTCAGTGCTGCTATATCTCCTCGCTCTCATTCTTTCTCTTTCTCTGTCTCTCTTTCCCTTACCCAGATTCTCCTAATTTATCTATCCATCTCTCCACCCCTTCAGTATTTAGTAACTACAATGCATATTTCAATAAAAACTGAAACGTGTAAATGTAAATATATACACTACCATTCAAAAAAGGGTTCGGTAAGATTTTAAAATATTTTTGAAAGAAGTCTCTTTTGCATACCAAGGCTGCTCAAAATACAGTAAAAATACAGTAATATTGTTAAATATTAGAATTTAAAATAACTGTTTTCTACTTTGTATTTTAAAATGTAATCTGCTCCTGTGATGGCATCCATCAGATGCCAGTGATATTCTTTTTACCAACTGCTGAGTTACACGCTGACTCAGTCTGAACTTTAAACTTATGCACAGAAAAACACTTAAATCATTAGCCATACAGTCTAAAGATTTTGTTTACTGTTAGCCAGTTTAACACTGCTCAAATCTCTGCACATAAATGATTCTGCAAGCAACAGATCTGATGTAGCTTGTCAGAAACCAAAACTTTTTTCTTCCATGTTAGCATACATTTTTCAACTATTATCCCCGACTTCCCCATATGTTCTCAGTATCTTGTATACCACTCTCCTCTCACAGCTATGGTATACCTTTGTCTTTGGTTGTGTTCTGAATAGTGTCTAATTACGGCACGTAAATCCTCTTAAGTGCCCTGTGCTATTTCTGCATAGGAGCACAGAGTTGTCCAATGTGTCTTGACTTAAGAAAGCTTCTTTGTGCCCTCCCCATGCACACTCAAAAAAGCATGAAGGACAAGCTAATGGTGATAGTGACCACGTAACAGCTCACTGAAGGGACGTATTCGGACCGTAAAAAAGGTGAGCAGGCAACTGTTTGATTTAACAGGTTTCTGTGGGACCAGACTGATTTACTCATGCAGCTACAGAACATTTCAGCTTCATGCTTAAATGCATCTTTTCCTGTTTGTTCTGTTTTACAACTTTAAGTGAGTCACAGTGTTATTTAATGAAAGTCTAAAGTCTATTCAGCTTCATGCTTAGATGCATCTGTTCCTGTTTGTTCTGTTTTACAGCCTTAAGTGAGTCGCAGCGTTATTTAACTAAAGCCTAATCATAGGCCTGATTATACTTTTGATGAGCTGTGATGTTACAGATGAATGGATTGCGTGAAACAAAGTCTACTTTGATTTGATTTGCATGCTAAAGTGACAGCATAATTCCTGTTTTTCTATGAATCTAAATCAAACCTTGGAGCTGGCATTTTTAAGTGGTTTGTTCAGATACTTTGATGTACTGTAGATAGCGGTAGTGTTGTCTACGGTATATTGTATTTATCTCAGAAAACATGCCATGTTTATCATTTTGCATGATTCAACAAGACTTCAAGATTCAGATCAGATTGAATGAAAAACATTCAAAAAGACTTTGATAAACGAATAAAGACTCAAAGGAGCTAAAAGCAGTAAAGCAAAGCCATAATCATGTAACTGCATGAACATATTGTTGTTTTGTTATAAAAATACAAATCGAAAAACACCACTTTTCAAGAACCAAACTGAAATGGAAGACTATTCATAATACCATGCTTTTAAAAGAGTATTTTTCTCAAACAATAAGCGTACAGTAAGAGTAGTCTGTGTGCACAAACCAAGCATCAACATTTGAAAGAAATAACAAAGAAAACTGAGGCAAACTCCAAAGCTGTCATATAGGATTTCATTGGTTGCCATCTGAGCTGAGGCATTGCATCATAGCTGTAATCTCAATTAGCGATCAGTGATTTACTGAGAGCAGTGAAAGGTACAATGAAGGAGGTTTGAGGCCAGAGGCTCGCGGGGCAAAATGAAGACTCTGAGCTCTAGTATTAAACTGCTAATCTGCTGCAGCATGAGCTTTATCTGATCTCGGTCTCAACAACCTCATATGAAAAAGATCAGTTTAATGACGGGCCTGAACGCAACCAAATATGGTATGCATTGTTGATTTTAATGTTGGCATTAAGGTGGTATATAATAAAGTTTTATGCATTTGCAATGGTATTGCTTGTAGAATTAAATAGAATCAAAGAAATGTGCATTAAAAAGAATGACAATTAAACTGACTTAATGCGATTTAAAGTGTCTGGGTTGAAATGGGAATTTATGCATATTGTAAATTATTTGAGGACAGTTCATTTGTCATTCCATGACATCATATCGACGACGCCCACTTGTGCAAATAAATTGGATCAAGGAGTAATCTGATCTTCTTACTCTTAGTAAACCTGATATCTTCCAAGAAAGAGCGATCAGGTACAGCGACACAGAGACACTGTCCGCATGCCAACATTTCAATGAAGTTTCGATGCTATATCTTGTTCGAATTAAATGAAGATTGAATGTATCTTGCCTTCCTGAAAAAGTAATGCAAAAAAAGAGAATTTTATTTATTTATAAAACGTTTTTCCACAGATAATCAACTAATAAAAATGTCTGACAGAATCGTAGATGAGGAACCAGCGGCTGTCACTCACACAGGTCAGTATGGTTCTTATTGTTTTGTGAGACTGTAAAATGAATGGGTCATATAGGGAAAGTGATCTAATGTATTAAGAGCATGCAGAATGAAGACGGAAAGGTCCAAACTGGAGTTTGCAAATTGATGAAAAGCAATTAATTAATTAAATCATAAAATTACTAGAAAACGATAACAATTTTATTTGTTTGCCTGCATGCCACATGACCATTTACCAACATTAGCGAGCCATGTGCATGAACTTACGAATGTGCTTTTGAATGATTGAAATTAATTCAGGGGTTCTTCAAGGAACTATTTTTGGTCAAAGGAGTTGGTCGAAGCCTGAATCCTTGCGTTATGGTTGCCAGCTTCCCATTGTGAACAACTTGGTGTTCTTGTGAAGAAATGAAAGAAACACATTCAACCCTGAGATAGGAACCAGGAAATTTTGAGGCCCGATTATAATTGTAATTACTGAACAAAATTTGAAACAACATCAGTGTCTGGACATTTGCTCATTTCCCCCATATAAGTCAAATTAGAGATAAAATACATTTCTATAAAATATGTCTGACCTGAACTGAACAGATATCATCCACTGCTGAAAGTGAACTAACTACGGTAGGCTATTGCTTGTCTTTTGATTGATGGTTGGCTTGCTGCAATTACTTATAACAGCTTAAATTTGTTAAGATTAAATTTGTTGAACTTAAATATCCAACTAAACTAAACTAAATTTATAATTTTAAGTAAAGCACAAACTTCAAACAAAACATCATTACTTATTCTAATGTTGAATTTTAAGTTGTGATTAATCGCAGCAATCATTTTTTTACAGTATATGTATTGATGTAATTCACTCATCTATTCATTCACTTATGGTATCTCTAGGACCAAAGGGTGTCATCAATGACTGGCGTAAATTTAAACTGGAGAGCATGGACCAGGAGGCTCTGCCTCCCAACAAGAGAGAGCTTCTAAGACAGATGTCGTCCCCCCACAAACCCAGAGACTCCTGTGTGCGTGGATTCAATCGCAAGGTTGCCTCATTTGACCATGATTTCAAAATAAAAATGAGCTCTTTGAAGAAAAACAGTGCTTTTCTAAATTAGACTGCAAGTGCATTCTAAAAATGGATGATAAGTCTCTATGTATAATATTACTTTGGTCAAAATTGCTATAGTTATTGTGTTAGTCATTTTAATGAATTGATTCATGTATTCTGTATGCACATAAAGAATTTAGAGGTTGCAAACTGAGATCCAGGGATCTGCTATGGCTATGGGCTACATAGAGGTGACAAATATTTTTATAAAATATGATAAAAAAAAAATCTGTTAAAATTAGTGTGTTAAAATATTTATCGAATATTCAGTACAATGACCATATAAAAGCCAGTTGTTTAATTTCAGGAACAGTATATTTTCTTTACATCATGCATATTATTTTTATTGAGTTCCTCAAAAGAGGTCATCATATTTGGCGGGTCTTTGACGTCAAAACATGATTTAATGGATTAACTTCCAAATTTAAATGCAGTTGTCTCTCTCAAAAATCTGCATTGGCCTTAAAAGCATTGAATTTTCCTGCTTCTTTTTCACTTCCCAGATGAGCGCTCAGGAGTATGAGCTGATAAAGGAAGATGATGAGAAAAGTCTGCGTAAGTACCGCAAGCAATGCATGGAGGAGATGCACGAACGCCTGAGCTTCGGGCCCAAATTTGAGGGCGTGTACGACCTTGACAGTGGCGAGGCCTTCCTGGAGGTCATTGAGAAGGAGCACCGGCTCACAGTGGTGGTGGTGCACATCTTCAATGATGGAGTGCAGGGGTGCGAGGTGCTTAACAGTTGCATGGATTGCCTGGCCACAGAATATCCCAGCGTTAAATTCTGCCGCATTAGCGCCGCCGCCACTGGAGCTGGGGAGCGTTTCTCAGATGACGTGCTGCCCGCCTTGTTAGTGTACAAGGCTGGAGAGCTTCTGGGGAACTTCCTGGCTGTTACGCGGCATTTCAGCGAGGAGTTCTTTGCTACCGATGTAGAGGCCTTCCTCAGTGAGTATGGACTGCTGCCAGAGAAGGAATGTGGCCCTGGAGCTGATGAGGATGAAGCAGATGTGGAGTGATGAAATATAGCAGAAAGTAAGAATGGATTAAATGAATGGGAGGAATGTTTTTCTGAATATGACAAGAATAAGTTTCATTATTCTTCCAGCTAACATGATGAGATGCTTCCGTGTGCACATGCAGCTCAGGGTAAAGATCTCTTTGAGCACAGTAGAGAAAACTACTGAATGTTTTGTATAGTACAACAAGAAATGGAATAAAGCCGAGAAAGATAATGAGATATTCAACTATCATGTTTTCTCATATAAACAAATAGACAACTGCATAAATATTAAATAGATAAGAATGAATTAGTGTCATGTGGAATACTTATGTACATATTGTACATGTGATTGCATGTAGCCAAAGATGATGCAAATGAGAATGGTCCATGATTGGTTCTTCTTAAATTAATAGTTCGCCCAAAAATTAAAAATGAATGAAAATATACTCACCCTCTTGCCATTCAAGATGTAGTTTGTTCCTTTACTAGAACAGATTTGGAGAAATTTAGCATTACATCACTTGCTCACAAATTAATGCTCTGCAGTGAATGGGTGCCATCAGAATGAGAGTCCAAACAGCTGATAAAAACATCACAAGAGTCCAGTAATTCACACTACTGCAGTCTGTTAATTAGCATCTTTTGAAGTGAAATGCTACATGTTTGTAAGAAATAAATCAAGGCATTTTAACTTTAAACCATTGCTTCTGGCCAAAATACGAATCGATAATCCATAAAAATGCTTCCTTCCATGAAAAAATCCATCCCTTGTGTTTTCACATCAAAATCACAAGACATTATCATAATCATAAGACATATTTGTTTTGAAAATTTGTAGATTTTCACTTCACAAGGCATTCATTGATGGACTGGAGTTGTGTGGATTACTTTTGGATTATTGTGATGTTCTTTTTAGCTGTTTGGACTCTTATTCTGATGGCACCCATTCACTGCAGAGGATCCATTGGTTGTTACTGTAAATTGGTTTGGCTGGAATTTTGCATAAACCAGGATGTTTTATGTAAACTGTATTTTTAGGCATACATAAATAAATGCAAATGGAAACACTGAACATGTCCCCTGCCTGCATTTAGTTAAAAAAAGATAATAATTATACACATGGTCCACTTGCACACAAATTATATGTCACCCCTGAAGAAAGCATTTGAAGAACAGAATCAATTAAGAGAGCAATAAAGTGAAATTCCAGAGAATTTGCACCTTCCTTTAATGTGGTTTGAAAAGCGAGACGGCACTTGCTGAAACACAATCTCTGCAACTGACTTTACCGTGACCTGCAGGTTCAAAAGTTCCATTTATATTAAAAGAAAAGATACTTATTGCACATTTGTGCATTTTCCAATCATTTTCCTATAACTTGACATGTTATAATTATGTATTTATGGGAATCTTCCTTTGAGTTGAGTTGCACAGTACGGGGCAATGATCAAGATTTAGCTGCACTCCTGATGAACCATGGGTTACGAAGAAGTGAGCCAGCAAAAGACATGCTACTGTTCCTGGCTAGGGCTTTTCAGTGATATCCTCTTGTTAGAGTGGATTAAAATCTGCTGTTGTCTTGAAAAAGCTGGTGTAGAGTCAAATATAGTTATAAATAAACAAATATATATAAACAAATATAGTTCAATACAGCACTATCATGTCATCTCTGTAAGCTTAATCAGTGCAGTAAGTGGCTATACGCCCATGTTGACATGCTTTTATGAGCGGCGTATGTGATCTTTTTTGATCAGCTAGTCTGGAATCTTATTACTGGATTTAAATCCAAGATCTTTGTTTAGTGTCAAAATACGGGCTGCCCCGGCTGGAGCCTTTGTCTTCATGCAGGATATTTTCACTCTAATCCAACAATTAGTGTTTTTATATTTTAAATGACCTACTTAATTTGAACATGCAGTACTGATAAATACAGGCTATATTACTGTATACTTGAATCCTATAATTTGGCCCTGATTGTTACCTTACCCAGAATTAAGTTTTTTATCTCACCATAGTTCAGAACAAATTCAAACGCAATTGCAACAAAATTGCATCAGCTTGTGGGGTCGTGAAGCAATTATTTTCGTCTGTTCCATATTTGAAAAAGACAGGCAAACCAATTTGACAGTGACATATTTTCTCTTGAGGGCCAAGCCATGCAGGCACAACCACTGAGGGCCTGCAGGGTTTGGTGATTTTGTGGTAATGTTTTGTGTGTCTCACACCGAGCTCTTGCTATATCGTGCGACGAGGTCGTCTGCGCTTCACGCGAACATGTTCTGACAACATCTGCACCTGATACCACATTTGCCTTCATCCTCTCTGCATGCGTGAAGGAGTAGCCCAAACAGCCAAGTCCTTGTCTGGACTTAATTCCTAAGACATGTTGTCACGGGTTCATGGCTCAGACAGATTAAAAACTTTATGAATACTATATGAATAATATATGAGCTATATATATAAATGTATTATACTGTCCTCTATAGTATTGAAAATTAAAATATAGGAACAAAATATAATAAAAATGTTAAAAAGTATTTGATAAAAACAAAAACATTATACAGTATATAACGGGTCGGTTGCATAAAAGGCTTAGACTAGTCTTACATATATAGTTTGTATGGATTTTAATAATATCTAAATTAATACACTTTCATTTAGACTGCAGTGCTTAGATCTGAAACAAATATTTACTGACCACTGCTGGACAGTGACTAAGTTGTTAACGGTTGAGTTCACAGTTCTGTTCATTTTCTCCTGTTTTCACAAGGAACATCACAGAGAAATCTCACACATAAAGACCTCTCACATTTAGCTGATGTAAAAATCTAATCATAAAGCTTGGAGATCTTTAGGAAGGACTTTAGTCATGTTGTCCTGTAATATAAGAAGTGTTTTGTACTATAAAAAATAAACACATAATCACAAACTACATGGCTAATATGTTATAGGCTTTCATGGGCTTTGAATCTGGTCTTGTTATGTTAGCCAAGGCTGAAACTGTTTTGAAAATATAAAAACATATTTAGAGATGCTGACCACAGTCAAATATCAGTTTTGTTTTTCGTTTGTTGTTTTTAATCTGATCCAGGATTGTTTTTCTAGCTATTAATTTTAAAGGGCTGTTTAATGACATTCCTGTTGGAAACATTAACCTTTAACCAATAACACTTTTAATGTACCTTATTACCTACCTTACTAGCCATTTATATACATTAAAGAGTTTTTCTAAACATTTTACTCCTTCCATTTAATGTACATTATCTGTAATGATATGTTAAAGTAAACAATAAGGAACAATAGTAATCAAATTAAACATAACAATGAAATAAAATAATACAATAGATGGCTCCTCAAGATAACATATGATATATAGCAGTATGCCTATCATCATTGTGGTCTAATTAAAAACTTGAAGCTTTGTGTAAGTAGCCTGTGAGGTAAGCAATAATTTAACCCAGACAAAACCCCAGGAATTCCACAGGAGCAACCTCTGACAAAATGAATCGTGCATGTGAATGAAACAAATAATGACACAGTAAAACAAAACATTGTAGAATTGGGCCAGAAAGAAAACAAATGTGTCATGAATTATCGAAGAGAGTATAATACGGTTTCAAAGAAGGCAAAATGTCCAGAAAAAAAGGCAAACTAAATGACTCTGTCCATTGAAGGGTTTCCTGAGCTCTGAATATAATGAAGGCAAAGGTCTTCTGGGAGTGGCGTTGGGCACAGGAGAGGTAGCGTGTAGACAGACATGATGGATGTTAATTTCAAGTGTAAATGGGAACATAGGTGAAGGGCTGGATGGAGGTGGGGTCAGGGGTTGGCATGGAGGGGATATGAGGTCACAGGGCTTTTTAACACTACTTTGTGTGAAAATTACAGCAGCATTCACCACCCACACACACAAACACATACTTTAAAACTTCCTACCCTCTTCTTACTCAACATCTTATGTAGCTTTGTCACGCAAAGGTGAAGTAGTAGTGAAGTTTATTTTCCCCATATGTCACTATGGAAACCAGGATTTGGGGATAGAAAAACACAATAAATCACGGAATAAAAATTCCATACACATAAAAATTTCCATTAACCACAAATGCACTTACTCAAGGTCAACTATTGCCTTCTTTGGATGTTGAAAACAGGAAACTAGACTCCAGGTTTAACCATCAATGGCTCTGAAACACTGATTGGATCATAAAAAAGCAGGACTTTACATTAATTCATTACATTCATTAATTCAATACATTAATATTGACCCTAAGCAAGTAACAAAAAAGACAAAGCATTTTCAAAACATGAAATGAGGTGTGTGAGGTCTTGAGACATTCCCATGGGTCTTTGTTTTCTAGAGTGTGTTGACGTTTGGAAGAGGTGAAAGAGAGAGCATTGCTTGGCTGATTCAAGGTTAAGGCTGCATAGCAAAGAGAGGCGAGGTTACACTATCTCTCCTTACAGACAGTCTTACTGTAAATAATAACCAGTGCCTGAGGGGCCACTAACGGCATTAACAACTATTATATGTTTTTTGCTTCCATTTAAAAATTCCATATCGATAATTCATCTGTGGTCACATTGATATGTGGTTATGACTGGTCTAAGGAATGGAAAACTGCTAGAGAATAAAAGCAAGAAAGAGAAGGCAAAGGCGGGTAATTCTATTCATCAAATGAATGCCAAGACTGTATGGGATGATATGAGCCAAGTAGAAATGAGACAAAGGTAAAACCAACACATATAACTAGTTTCAGTTATCTCTTATCAAGTAATTTTTTAACAGGAAAAACTGTAACATAAGGCCATATAAATACAAATTATAAAAACGGAATAAAATAAACTATGTAACAACATAATTACAAATAACAAAGAATTATAACTGTACACTCTAAAAAAAAAAAGGTTCTTCAGCGGTTCTTTGGAGTGGTTAGGGTGCTATATAGGACATTAATTTTAAGTTAAAATAAGTTTCTCTCTGGCTGTTACAATAATGTTTATACAGCACATATGTGATGGCAAGGAACATATGGTAAATTAATTTCATGCCTCTGAGTCTCTGGTTGCATTTTATCAAAATCTGTAGTTCTTTTATGAGTTTTATATTATTGCAGTTCTACCATACTATGTGACAATGTGAGAAAATTGTATATTACCACTTTTAGAGTTATGGGTAAAATACTAAGCAATACAATGCAGCTGCATAATTTATTCATGTCGCAATGCATGCTGGGAGCCATGGATGAGTTATGATTGGTGCACCATTGTTAAGAAAAAGTGCTATATGGCACCTCTTATGGTTCTACATGGCACCATTTGACAAAGGTGCTATATAGCACCTGTAAAAATAGGTGCTAAATAGCACTAAAAGTAGTTCCCCTATGATTACATGCCAAAGAACCGCTTTTAATGCTATATAGCACCATTTTGTTTTAGAGTGACACATTATGATTGCCTTAAATCAATCCATAAATCAACAAGAAAAAAAAACGTTTTACGTTTGGAATGCTTTTTTGGAATGTTTTAATATGATAATCATCCAAACTTATGGACAGTGAGCAGAGTATTGAGAATAAAAAAGATAATAAAAATGAAATTCAAAAAAGGAGAAAGAAGTGTATCTACTAAAAGCACGTTTATGTAGATTTTACCGCATTACAAATATTTGAACTATTGTGATATAACAAAACTAACAAGAAATTGTCAAACTAAGGAAAAAGTTTGCCCACGTCAAACTATTATTCAACCATCCATCTCACTCTGTTTCTGTGACTGACCTTGAATGCGATCGAGTCGACAGTGCATGTATGATACGACATCTCCCTCTTGTGTCCACTTATTTGCAACAACCGAGCT